AACTGGGTGTCGTCTGCATAGCAGTGTAAATGTCTGCAGTGCTTCCTGATAATACTGCCTACAGGGAGCATGTACGAGGTCCTAACACAGAGCCCTGTGCTGTCAACAGTGAAAGACAGGAAGTGTTCTCACAGTGGGGTCAGGTGTGGTTTGGAGTCAATGGCTGAGACTGGTTCTTACAAAATGCTCCAAGGAAGAGGCAGGAAATGAAAGTTACCTGATGTCAGACACCTCCAGATCTTCAGGACTAGAGACAGAAGGAAGACCACTGCTGATCTTCAGCCAGAGATGCTTCTAGACCAGAGTCTGAGAAGGTCTCCAGAGTGACCATAAGAGACGACTGATGGAACAAGGCTTAGAGGGAAGAAGAGCTGCTGAGAAGCTTTACTGAGGCCTGCAAACATCCAGAAACACCTCAGGTTTGCCAGCGAGCACAAACACTGGACTGTAGATGACTGAAGAAGGTCCTCTGGACAGACGAGTCCGAGTCGGAACTCTTGGGTCAGCATCGTCGTGTTCATGTCCACCATCTACAGCAAGTCTGTGGGAACAGCTAGAAACTGTTGGAAGTCAATAACAGCAGACTGTCGAAAAGTCCATAAAACACAGGCAGCAAGAATGTCCAGGCCACAGGAGGCAGTAGAGAGTAGAGCCTTTTGGTGATTAAGTGTGAAAGAGGACTGTTTAGTTGTTTCACTTTGTTATTTGTCAAATAAATATCAATAACATTTTTAGTTTAAAATCAGTTTTTTCAAAGATTTCTAAAACATTGGTGTTTTCTGGTTTCCATGGTGCTCTGATAGACGTGTTTCCATGTGCATGAGCTGCTGGGCTGTTTGTCCTGCTGACGAGCAGCAGAGCCATGAGGCCTGTGCAGGAATGTGCTGCTGCTGCTGCTGCTGCTGCTGTGTTGACGCGTCTCTAAGGTTACAGAGAGCAGCGCTGGAGGCCTGCACAGCTCACAGTGGCTTCTCCTCCGTCAGCATGAGCCGGAACCCGCAGTCCGTCCCTCACTCGGTGAGGACCAGGAGCGACTATGAACCGGTCCGGAACCTGCGAACCGAGACCCGCTTCAGCAGCTGGACTCCGCTGAGCAACAAGCAGGGCAACACACAGGTCAGAGGAACAGCTGTGGCAGGGCCTGTGCTCTGTGGACATGAAGCTATGAATCAACTTATTGTGCTGTGTATATATTTAGTCATTTAATGTTTCACCTAGCTCCTTAATTTACTGGCATCAGGAGGGCAGTGGTGCCAGCTGAGGCCTGAGGGGAGAGGAAGGCCTCAGCAGTGGGTCCTGGGCAGGCGCCGTTCATGCCAGTGCAGGGAGGATGGGTTCGGGTTTAGGCAGACAACTGAAGCTCAAAACCCAAATGACTCCACAATAGATCAACTGGTATTAGAGGTTATTTGTATTTTAAATGAATGAATGTATTACACAATAAATCTGTACAGAACCAGTGTCCATTCAAACACTGCACATGTGAGCCTTCAACAGCACAACAGGAGTAAACGTTGAACCAGGGTGCTGACGGGAACCAACAAGGCACAGTTTAGGTAACAGGCCAATTAACCAGATGTGGAACAGCCGAGGCCTGCAGGCGCCTGAGTTGGAACGAAGCTGTTTCTTTAACCAATCAGAAGGGAGTTGGTGGTCCCTTTAACCAATCAGATTAAGAGTTGGTGTTTCCAGGGCAGCTCGCTGGCCCCACGATGACGTCAGCACTTCCACGTCCTCTGATTGGATGGTCGGCTCAGTCAAAGCTAGCGGTTCTTGTCTGTAAAGTCCTGCAAAAGATAAAACTTTATATAAAAGTATAATTTAAAAAAAAAAGGAAAAAGCTAAGCGAGCGGACATTCTCAGGCCTGGACAGAGCGACTGTCAGCACCAGGATCCAGGAGACCGAACAGGAGCGACGGGTAGCTGCTCAGCAGAGGGACTGGACCGGTTCTGAGGAGAGGAGAATGGAGTGTGTTCGGTGACTAGAACATATGTTTCTGTCATGTTTTTGGGCTGATATTGATGCTCCTGTTAGATGTGCAGGTCAGCGTAGCGGGGGTCTTAGCCACACTCCCGCCGTTAGGTAACACGTTAGCATCTTAGCTGCTAACGGTTAGCAGCGAAGACGACCGTAGAGAAACGAGGTTCAAACACATAGCTTAAGGGCAGCGTAGCGGCCCACACAGCGTGTTTTTTCAGGGGAGCAGCCCCATAGATATGTATAATAAAGGTGAGATGTTTTAAGGCGGCGTTTCGAACGGGATCACCGGCGGCCATCTTGCCACAGGGCGGCTCTCTGGGGAACCTGTGGTACCAGGAGGAAGGTGAGCGATCTGCACAAACGTAGGTACTCTGATCCCGCTGACATCTGGACGGATTTACAAACGGTTTGGTTTTTTCAAACGTTATTAATGTGGCGACAATTCAAATTATAAAAATACAAATAAAATACAAAACATTTAAAATACTAATTGTTGCTGGCCATGAGAGTGTAACATAATTATCCATCAGTGCAGCGTTATAACTACACCTGTGACGTTTAGAACAAACCAAACAGTTTGAAAATATGTAGAAAACTGAGCAAGTTATGGTTATTTAAAAAGTACATGCGCCACTAAGACACGATGTTATGGGTGAGCAGCGCACCGAGCCAAGATGGCCGCCAGTGTGGCCGTGCGATTCCATTGGCCGACAGCGGAACGAGACATCAGGCCTTTATTATACGTATCTATGGGAACAGCGGTGAGAACCCGGATGTGATGTATGCGGTGCAGCTGTGGCAGACTGAAAGGAGACGTGTTGAATGGTTTAACTGGGTTTCTTGCTTCAGTGATGCCATTCATTCATTCTCTGGAGGTGAGATCCCTGTCTGCACTGCACCGTCCTGTTATGCTGCCTTTCTGCATCATACTGGTGGTTTCTGTAGCCGACGGTGTTAACAGGTGGTTTGGTCTGGGCAGGACGCCGCTGGAGGCCCAGGAGGACCATGCACGGCCCGCCACTGGTGTCGGTGGAGATTCAGACAGAATTCAGGACATGTGTAGCTGGACGGCCTCAGAGTTGACCTATTTAGTGTTTAGGACCCAAAACTGAGTTCTGGCTGACTTTTAGGAATTTTATATTTGCACACCTGGAAACTTTTGTATTTCCGACCTCAAATATACACCTTACCTGGTAAGTCATTGTCAAGGTTCAGCATCTCCAGAGAACACAGACACAGGCGTTCCTAGCAGATCATAGTGATAGGATGGCTCTAGCAAAGGCCAAAGCCCAGGTCACTGGTCCTCAGAAATGGAAAAGCTAATGCAAAATTCCTCCCCAGAAGGTTTTTTTTCAAGTGTATATAAATCAGATCCAGTCTATTGTCGTGTTGCTGCACATACACAGCAGTACAGGCAGTTTCTCCAGGGTCCAATAACAGTTTAAATAAGCAAGTGTTTGCGTATCTGGATCAGCAGCCCAGCGTTCTGACAGCTGGTGGCATGAAGCTGTTGATCAGTCTGGAGGTTCTTCCTCTAACGCTCCAGAAACAAACAGTTCAAACAGTTCATGGAGAGGGTGTGACTCGTATATCTCATATCTATGGATGGGTCCATGTGTCCCACTAGAAATACAGCCATTGGTCAGCATTCCACCAACCATGAGGCCTGTAACATCAGTACCGTTTGGTTTGTGGAACATCAATGTTCCATTTTATTTATTTATTTTCTGTTTTGCCTAAATGTAGAGGTTCACTGGTGGAGGGTGGGCTCATCGGTAGGAGACACAGACTGGTGTCTGTAGGCATCGATGTGTTGTTAGTGTATGAGGCACAAGCTGCTGCCATGTTGTCTTCATGTTAAAGGCTTTCTTTGCTGATACATGCGCTTTAAACGAACATTGAACAGAGAAACTGATGATGATTCAACACTCAACAGGCTCATAGGTCCTCAGTGGATTGATATATTTTTATTTGCAGAAAGGAGATTCTCAAAACCCATTTCAGTGTCTTTGTTAGTCTGGATGTCTGTTGTCTTCCCCTCCTCACTGTAGTTTTTCAGTTTTCCAATATGTTCAATAATGCACAAACGTAGCGTGGTGGTCGCCCACGTGTATGCAGTGTGTAGCTATGTAAAGAATAAAGCATTAACACCAGGGAGCAGTGGTTGTGACACTAATTATACGTCACTTTGCATATAAGCGTCTGTGAAATAGAACTGTAGAACTGTAATGTGTGTGTTTTACCTGGCGTCCAGCTGTTTGATGAGCGGCTGAAGCTGCTGCTGCACTGGTTTGATCTGTGGACGGACCGACAGAGGAAACAGCTGCTGCTCTCTCTGCTCACACGGTGCACCAAATCACAGCTCGAGTAAGGACGTTTCTCCACATTGTTCTGTGCAGATCTATCTCATGTAATCCTTTCATACCTGTGTTTTCTCAGCTTGAATTTATTTTGAAAACCTCTGACACTGTGAGTAGGTACTGTCAGGATTTGCTGACTGAGGCGGTTCCGGTGACCCAGGTGGACTTCACAGCGGTGCTGCCTCGGTTTCTGTCCCTCTATGTGATGTCCTTCCTGTCCCCCCGTGACCTCTGCAGTGCCGCCCAGGTCAGCTGGCACTGGAGGGTTCTGGCTGAGCAGGTGAGCGATCTAACCTTTAGGTCAGTGATTAGGTTTCTTTTTTTAAAGAGAGTAAAACCCGTCTTGTCTTTGTCCTCCCTGCAGGACTGTCTGTGGGCGAGCCGGTGCATCAGAAGAGGCTGGTTCTTGCCCTACAGTCCTGCAGACAAAGAGTTTGGAGCCTGGAAGAACCACTACATCACCTGCGTCCTCACAGTGGACTGGCTCAGCCCACAGGAGGCAGCACAGAAGTACAGGACTCTGAAGCAGCAGAGCTGGGGAGCGATGGAGGAGGATGAGGAGGAGGAGGAGGAGAGGAGGGTCAGGGAGAAGATCAGGGACAAGATTCAGGAGGAGAAGAGTGAGTGGAAAGAAAGAAATGACAAAATAGTTGATTGTATGTGATGTCTCACTCTTTCCTTTATGAACCTTTACCTTTGTCTTGTTTGTTTCTGCTCTAAGAGTCCAAAAGTCTGTTTCTTCTCCTGTTCATTGCTCTCCATCTTCTGATCTGCTCAGCAAACAACTATCTTATGAAAAACCTGCACTTTTAGTGACTTGTGCCGACATTGTTTGTAGGAGTATCTCTGAGAACCAGGAGAGCCTGGGGCAGCTCCACAAAGCCACAGTGGTCCAGAGGTGGAGGTTCCCAGTTGGGGAGGGCCAGCTCAGGTGTAGCCTTCGTCTCCTGGCCTCCGAGGGCTGGTGGATCTTCCAGCTTTTGTCTTAACCTGGATGGGAGACGACCTACAACTGCAGATCAGAGCCCGGAGAGAGTGCAGGTCTCCAGCCTAAGCAGGTGATTGTCTTCACTGAGCAATGACATCAAACACCTGTATACAGGGTAGACACGTGTGAGCCCGGTTCTTTAGCTGGAAGCCCAACAACACAGCGGAGAACTGTTCAGTTCACAGATGTAGAGTTTATTCAGGTCACAGGTAAAGTGAGGCAGCGCTGGGCTCGGAGTGACAGAGCTCTCTATCAGAAGGAGCCCTGATGTCCAGGAATGATTCACATTTATCTTGTTGGGCTGGGCTTGTATGCAACCGAGTATAATTGACCAGTTACTGTGACGTGGACATGCGTGCCTTGTCCACGCTCTGTCAGTGTGGTGAGCATCATGTGTGGGTGTTGTTGGTACGGCGGGCGTCTACAGTAACCGTCCTACTGATAGAACAGAGGAGCTTCAGCTGTCTCCTGGTCTGTAAACCAGGTCTGACGTCTTCAAGGACGTATATCACTCCATCATCAAGTATACACACTGTGTTTATACAGTTTGAATAACAATGAACTCAAACCTGAAATGAGATGTTCTAATAATCTGAGAAAGTGAATTTCTGATTTCCATGAGCTACGAGCCATAACCGTCAAAATAAAATATCATTAGTAGACATTTCACTTTATGTGTAATGCATACAGAATATAGAAAGCACGATCTTTTAACAATAAATGTGATCTTTTCATTGTATATATATATTTAGTTTCACACTTTCTATGTGTTGTCCTCTTCACATTTCTTTCCAGGTAAACAAAGGAGCCTCAACGTTCACACTGTTCACGCCGGCAGATGTTTTCTACAAGACAGCAAATGTCCATAAATGTTGAGCAGTTCTTTGGACGTATGAAATCGAATGCAGCTTTTACTTCTATGAGCGAGCGCATTAGGAGCATGTGTTTTCTTGCAGTGAAGGACGGACCAGAGCCAGAGGAAAGCAGTCCACCCCCAGACCTGCACCGGACCACTCAGTCTCCTCCCCACGGCCCACAGCTCCCCTCCTGCTGCTCGTCTCCAACAGAACTCCTGCTTATGAGGTAACAGACAAATGAAGAGAGTCTGTGTGAGGGCTGAGCCCCAATAGCCGGCTATTCGTTCGCTGTGCTGGAATCGGGATATCAAACTGGACCTCCGAGTATCCCGCCGCCGCGGAAACGGAGCCGTCACCGCTAACCTAAACACAGAAACTGGCCTGTGTAGCCAAATGCGGCCTGTGCGTCGTTCACGCTCGCTCCAGCTCGTAGGAGCCCGAGCTCGTCCGAGGGCAACCCCCCCGTCGACAAAAACAGTCAGCCACAACCCCCCCGTCGACAAAAAAAGTCAGCCACCACCACCGATCAGCACCTCCGAATATTCAGGATATTCATCATTAATTGGGACCGAATGTCTGGAGATCAGAAATTGCTATTGGGACCAGCCCTAGTCTGTGTCTGACCTCAGAGAGAGCAGCAGTGAAACAAAAATGGTCAGTAGGAAGATGAAGCGGTGATGTTTCTCCCCGTCTGCTCTCCATGTAGCTGCTGCTGAGCGGCGTGAAGGCCGGAGTGATGGTGCTGCTGTACGACCACAGAGGGACTCTGTCAGCTGTGCTCACCCAGGTGGAGAGAGCCCTGTGTGGACAGCCGGCTCAGAGGCTCGGCCTGCTGGCACCAGGAGGAACGGAGGAACTTCATCTGCTTTATAGTGAGAATGAATTATCCTGTGGATCCATTGACAGGGTTGCTGCCAGTCTAACTGGAGCGACCAGCGCTAGGTGTTGTTCACTCCTCCAAAATCCAAGACTGTTTATCAAAGGTCTTGTGCTAAGTTTACTTTCCATTTGGACTCCCACAGTCCTGATCAGTAGGTGCAGCTTTTAGTCGAGCACGTTTCCAACACGTTCTCATGTTTGGATGCATCCAAAGTACTTGATGCAGTTCAAAACATAACTTTGATTAATTCACTTCAACCTATCACATGTCTTTTTAAAATATCTTCTGAATCAAAGTGTCCCTTTCAACTCTGATGGCTCAAAATGGAAGCAGTTAACGTATTAAAAACCTTATTTTCACTCTGTTGATCCGGTTTTCTGATCACTTGTTCCCTTCAGGCAGCAGCCTATCAGAGAGGACACTGCTGACCCCTGACCACAGAGGATTCTGGGAAGCGCTGTGTGGCTGGGTTGCACCGACTGACCAAGGAGGAGGGATCGACATCTTCTCCCCGCTGGCTGCATCTGGTAGCGTGATGCTAACACACTTTGTAATCTAGGCTTCCTCAGTTACATCATCTCACTGCTCCTCCTCTCACAGCATCAGGAGTGGCTCTGATCCAACGTCTGTCTGCTCTGACCGGTCTGGAGGTTCGGGCACCGCTGGGTCTGGCCACTGGGAGTTTCCAGAACAGTGAGTAACCAGTATCAGTTTGGTGATGCCACATCAGTCAGTCAGTTCTTTGATCTAAAATGCTGGGACCTTGTTGTTCATGAGGTTGAAGCACCAGGTGTGTTCTTTGTTCAGTGTCAGGTTAACCCCCCAGCTGCAGTTCCCGAGGGTCATGTTTTACTCACTGAGCTTCATGTTTCTCTGCAACATCAAGTCCTGGCCCTCTATGGAAACAGAACGACCACGAAGAAGGAGAGAGAACTCAGACAGGTCTTCTGTACAGTATGACAGTAATACTAGCAAGAAATTCATAGAAATAACATGAGCAGAAGTAGGTTTGCTTTCATCGCTCGTTTAAGAGGAAAAAAGACAAAAGCTTTAACAGACAGTGCTTCTCCAAGTGCCTGCAGGCATTACTAATCCTGAAAAAACAGCAGCCCCGCATACTAGAGGCGTTTTATTACCGTGATGTCCAGACTATTGAGCTCCACCCACTGACTTTAAACAGGAAACCAGGTGTGTTCATATCCAGGCTGCAGGTGTCTCTAAGCTGCAGGTGTCCACGTTGGAACATGAGATATTTACACAGAAAGATGTTTGAACCTTTAATTAAATGCGTAGCGGTAACATCCACAGATACGTACCGTAGAGGCTTTTTTCTGAACACTTCCTGTAACACGGCTGGTTAAGGAAATAAAACTCCAGCAGCTACCAGGAAAAGTCACTGATGGCTATCTTCATCTTCCTCCTGCACTAAAACCACTAAAGTCGTCTTCTTCAGTGTCTTCAGGAGCTGAACAGCCTCAGAATCACTTCATCACTTCCTCAGTCTCTCTGTCGTTTTCGCTCTCAGCCTCACTTTGGTCTCGAGGTGAATTCATGAAACTCATAAAAACCCATAAATTAGCTCATCGTTGTTGAAGCCTCAGAGTTCAAAGTGTGTGAACAAAGTTGCGGCTCATAGTCTGGACATTAGGGTGCCTACATTTCCATCTATCTGCTCTGCGTAAACACTGCCTGCAGTTCAGGCAAAACAAATACAAACACATCCAGATTGTCTGTAATGTGACTGCTGGTCACAGCTGGGTTCAGGGCTTTGGGTCGCACCAGAGGGCACTCAGTGCAAATGGTTGTTTTTTTAGGTCACAGACAGGAAGAAGTAACAGTTTGCTTAAATTTAATTAAAAACCAAAAACATGAATTTCCTCCACATGTTCTCTGTCTGCCTTCACAGTGACTGGCTGGAGCCACTGCTACAAATAGTAAACGTAACCGAAGAAAAGCTGAATCCTGTGTTGTGAAATAATACAAATGCTGCTCCGATGAGTCTGAGAATAATCAAAAGCATCATTCATGAACCTGAAGTTGTGTATTTATGGATTAATTCAAAGAGCGTCGGAGAATTCAGTTGCTTTGTACATAGGTTCTTGCCCTGACAGATGGTGTACTGTTGGTGAATCATGTACATGTATAAACTAAAGCAGCATGCCTTGTAGGGTTCAGAGAGATAAAGCCACAACAGAACGGTGACTTTCCTTGTCCCAGTCCTCAGTGAGTGGTCGGACAGCAGCGTGAGTCCTGGGCAGTCGGACCAGCAGCCAACACCTCCGCCTCTGCAGTATGTGAGTGATGGCGTGCTGCAGTTCTGGTGCAGACAGGCCCAGTGGATGGAGGAGGCTCTGGTGGAGCTGAGGGGCTCCATGGGGCCACAGATCCAGCAGGCCAGTCTCCAGGCCCGGGGCCGAGCTCTGGGTGGGTTCCACACACGTGTCTGTTTAAATGCAGGAAACACAGCTGGACTCTCAGCACGTTTTAGCACGTGTGCCTCCAGTAGACCCTCGTAAGAACGTCTCAACTGTTGTAGGTTATTTCCTGTGGGAGGAAGGCTGCCTGGACCAGCTCTGTGTGTCCAAAGATCTGAGTGAGGCTCTGACTGAAGGACTCACTGCTCTGACCAGACAGGAGGAGGTGGGAGCTGCTGCACATGAGTGTTTGTAATCCTTTCAAAGTCACATCACAAACGAGCTGTCTGCTCTTCCTCCTTCAGACCAGACCTGTGGAGTTTCTCTCAACCTTCCTGACCAGATGGAGTAAAGAGAAGGAGGGACAGCAGAGTGACGGAGAGGACCAGAGGAGAAACCAAGCAGCAGATGATTTGTCTTCAGCACCACATGAGTCACAGACGGGCTTCAGCCTGATACCTGAGCTCGCACAGGTGTGTGTGAAAGACAGACTGGTGAAGATCTGGTTTTAATCCTGTGATGTTTTAGTGGCATGTCTGAGCATCTCTTGCCGTAGTGTATTGATAACAAACACAGATTCAGACTTCCAGGATTTCATACGTACCAAACGTCAGGAACCGGTTCTGTGACCCACATCGAAGCCAGTTTACAGCAGGAAGGGGTCATTGTCATGGAAAGAAACCTTATAAATGTGTTACTTTCTACACACACAGATGAGTTTTTGAGATGTTTACAGATCTGTTCTGTCCTCAGGCACCGTTGGATTGGAGAGGCTCGGTGGCCAGAGAGCTGCACCACAGTGAGCGTCTCTATCTGGGAAGGCTGCGTGCCGTGCTGAAGGTATGCCTTCTATTTCTTCTTCTTCAGACACACTGAGCAGTTATTGAAGTGCAGAAACCAGCCGGTGATAATAATGCTGCAGACGTGGAGCCCTTCAGCAGATCATGGGGAGTTCATGTAATGCCTTATTACACTTATTATAGTATATAAACTATCTATTTATGGATCAACTGCAGCCCAGCAAGTGCTGTGTTTGTGTGTTTTGCCTGAGAAAGGCTTCACGCTGAGCAGAAGAGAGCTTGTCGATGCCAGAGAGCTGTGGTGTTGCATTGATGTGTGTCCCTCTGTGCTGCAGGTTTACCAGGAGCCTCTGACAGCAGCTCTGGACTCCAACAGGGCCATTCTCAGCCACACCGACATCCAGGTCATCCTCAGTCCTGTCACGCTCATCCTGGAGCTTCACCGGTACTAACACTCACTTATAAACATGCATGGAGCCGTCTGGTTGCCTCTCGGTGTGGACGTACCGTGGCAGCTGTGTGTGTGTGTGTGTGTGTGTTACAGGGTGTTTGAGGCAGACCTGCAGTCCAGGCTGCAGCAGTGGGGAGCAGAGCAGTGTGTTGGAGATGTGTTTGTAAAGTTCTGCTCCAAACTCAGAGTCTACAGCAACTACCTCAACAACTACACAACGGCCCTCCGGACTATTGATAAGGTGGAGTCGGACTGTGTTCATGCTCTCCAAGTTCGATGTGTTCAGTGGAGTTAAAGTTCTGTGCTTGTGTCAGCTCTCATCCTTCTGACTGAGCTGCTGTGTGTTTATGTGCATCAGTGCAGAGAGGACAAGCCTTTGTTTCGGCCGTTCCTGAGCAGAGCAGACAGAACTGTGGCGACGCACATGCTCAGGTAGCAGCACACACATGCTCTTTGTTTACTTCAATAAGTACCTGCCTCATCACATCACAAGCCCGTGTGCTGGTGAAGCCTGCAGGAGCTGCTGCTGTGTCCGGTGTGGAGAATTCAGGAGTACGTGACTCTGCTTCAAGCTCTGACCTTCCACACAAGCCCTGACCACGCTGACCACACACACCTCTGCTCTGCCCTCGGCACGCTGCTGCGATTCAGAGGTTTCATACAGCAGGTACCGAGCCAGGAGCCGTGCAGCTACCAGAACCTCCCTGTGTAGATGCTGTCAGTTGGGCTAAACTCGTTTGCTTCTTTCAGTTGAAGCGTAACTCGGAGGCAGATGGGCTGATAGACGAGACGCAGCGACTGATCCAAGGCTGTCCGGTGAAACATTCACACAGCTCTGCCTTTTCCTGCTTCATCTGCTCCATTTGCTCCAAATCAGACAAGCCTCCACGCTGAAGGGTTTTAACTGTGTGTCCTGTGTAGAACCTCAAGGAAGGAAACCGGCAGCTGATCATCACTCAGGATGCTGCTTTGCTCCGGAGTCCAGATGAACACGTTCCAGATTCTCTCAGGTAGCACACATGACTGCGTGCATCGGTGTACATTTAGTCCACTGTGGACTGTCTCTGTACCAGCTGCCATATACCAGCTGTGTCATTTCCTCATGTTCAACAACGATTTGTTAGAAAGGATGTCAGAACGTCACAGAGGGCATTCGGAGGCTCAGACCAAACCCTCGTCAGGTTTCCAAAACAATACGTTTATTTACAATATTTATAATTAATGACGTATGCACAACAATAAATATGAAAACACCAGAAACAATCAAAACCCAGAGTGCAAATAGTGAAACTAATATTTACAACTAGCAGAAGCAGAAGCAGGGCTCAGGAGTGACGCCAACAGGCGAGGAGGACCGATTCAAATACAAACTGAACGACTGCTGATGGTGAAACAAACCCAAACGTAGGACTGACCACGTCAGGAAAGCTCAAACGATTAACCGTAACTTTAGCAACACAGACTAAATTAACAGTGAAGGCTAACAGGACACAGCGGGGAATAGGGGCTTACGGTCAGGGAGACGAGCATCCAGAAGCTTTGTCAGAACCGGGTTGCAGAGAAGGCGGCATGAAGTCACTCAGCAGGAGTGGTTGCAGCAGGACGGGTCCAGACTGAAGCAGAAGGAAAACAGGATTAGAGCACAGATATCGCAGAGCCTGAGAGAGACCGATGGTTGGTCAGTTCAGCGTCGAGTCGCCGTCCGAAGCCAGCATTTTTGAGGAGGAAGGAGTCAGCTCAGTGTAAACCAGGTGAGATCAGCTGACTCACCACACCTGTCCACACCTGGCACACCAGGCCTTAGGAAGAAGGAACGGAGGGAGGAGGAAGGGAAAAGGGGAGAAACAGCTGGCAGTAGGCGGAGCCAGAGGTGGAGGGCATGACACAGAGAGCAGTATGACTGATGTCAGTGTTATCCTGCTCTCTGGTACAGCGTAGATGGAAACTTTGCAAAGTGATGTCCTGCATATTTTAAGTTACAGCATTTATGTGTGTATATATACGTACAGCGTGTAGAGCCAGTGCTAGCTTTGTGTGTGACTTGTGTCCCTCTGTGTGATCACAGGACCTATGAGCAGGTGTGTGACGTGGGCCTCTTCCTGTTCAGTGATGCTTTGGTGCTGACCCGCAGAAACGTGCATCACACACCGTTCACGCTGGCTCACCGCAGCACACACACATTCCTGGCCTCAGTGGAGCTCAGCAGCCTGACTGTCAGAGAGATCACACATTCACGCTGTGAGTGTTCACCATGTGCACTAGCCTTCTGAAAGCCTGGTCTCTGCTGACCTCCAGTGGTTTACCCGCTCAGCTGCAGGCAGAAGCTCACACAGGTCTTCACGGCTTCCTCTGCAGGTGTGAGCCACGCCTTCGTTCTTCAGGGTCCTCGTCGTTCGTGGGTTTGTGCCCCAGAGAGAGGGGACGAGAAGGAGCACTTCCTGTCTGTGCTGCGTTCAGCCATCCACTGTGCTCTGAGAGGACATCAGTGAAGCTCTGAGAGGACAAGACGAGGTTTGGACACAGCTGTCGGCCCTTTCTTCATCTGAAACGGTTTATTTAGAAAATCAGGAAATCTGTCCCCATGTGGGGTAAAGACATAGCGCTCCTCGTGTCCCACTTAGACCCCACAGGTGATCCACTAAGTATGTTTATTAGTCAGCTAAAGGGACTAGGGTATAGTTGGCAAGCGTACCTGGCAAGCACCTGTAAAACAGGACAGGTACACAGTTCATGTCCACAAGTGTCTGGTCAGGAGGAGTTTCACTCACTAAGTCAGTCAAAGTGCTGACTAGACCTTACTATTCACAGCAACACGTTTAAATACATATTGTAAGATGAGACCTGGATAAATATCACCACAGCAAAGTTAGAAACTGCTGCAGTGCTTTCAGTCTAATGCTAAGAGCTGTTTGATGTGTAGACATTTAAAAGCAGTTTGCATTGTGTCGACCAGTCTAGTGTTTTAGTGAACTCTCGGTGTGCTGAACCCTCTAAACTGAGAAAAGAAGTCACTGCCAACCGCACAGAAATACATGTGGGTCCACAAAGAGTCAGAGAGAGGAAGGTAGTTTAGATAGAACATCCCAGGTGACAGCTTTGAGTTGTCCTGATGGAGCTGCACATCACACAGGGTTAGCTTAAGGACTGTGGAGAAGGTTTTCAAAACGTGGTGGTTTTAAAGTCTCTGCCTTAAAGACACAAACCCAGCAGTGAGCTTTGGGTTTCAGAGGCTTTATAGAAATTACAGTAAAATGAAAACTACAAAAAGCAGTTGTTTTTGGTGCACAGTGTGTGAAGACATCTTGGAGATCTTTCCTTGTTCTGTGGATTCAGTCTGTCTGTTCATGTGATCGCAGACGGACTCAGTAACGTTAAGATCAGGCCCCCGTGGTGCAGACCTCCTGTGTGGCTGTACGTTGGAGCTGTTGGCATGTTGCAGGATGAGTGTAGGGGCAGCAGACGCCTCCTCGTGTGATGAATCAGGATGTAAACAGGATCGTGCCACTGCGGTGTTTGTCTCCCTGTAGATCGTTGTGTCAGAAGAGAAACACTCCTCCAGCTCAAGGTATAAAAAATCTTTATTGATAAGCAAAAATAACCCAAATGTCACATGTGTAGAGTTTATCGCTGTGAACGAGCTGCGTTCCAACACAGGTATACACGTATGTACATTATTGACACGTTTTAGAAGCTTCCATCCCTAGAAACGGACAAACTGTTCTATGATCTGTATCCCACAACAGATAGTCGTACTGACAACACAGATCAATCTGACCATATAACACGCTGATGGTTCTAATGCTACGCTACTACTTCACTTATGTTGACTACAGCCACCTCCTCACACACATCTGGGACAGCACATCACTTACTGTCTCGTTTAATGACCCACTAGATGAATCTACAGCTGAGCTACTGTCTGAACGTTTGGTTCTGTGTGCAGTGCGCACACACTGAACAGAACGCTGACTCAGCAGACAGTTCAGCCTCCTGAGCACCACAGACGAAGGTCTGCTGGAGAGTAACGGGTTGTTTCTTAAAAGGTGAAGAGAAAAAAGATCAGTGTTTGAGTCTTGCTGAGTTTTGCAGAGTTGTTGACCTTCATGTTCATGTGTGAAGTATCTGTGAGAATGTCTGTATCCTGGAAGCTGGTGTTAAACAAATCACAGTTTCCGGTTGACCAGGTTCGGGTTGTTGTTGTTGTTGGTGTGTGTCGGCGGCTCTTTGCCGGCGGCTACTTGTGGCGGCTGGCTCTTGTTCTGCAGGTTGGCCGCTGTGCTGTTTGTTCCCTTCTGGGAGCTGTAGCTCTTGGGTTTGGGAATCCTTGTCGGTCCTGGGCGTCGGAATGCTTCAAGAGGTATCTGTGGACACACATGGACAAAATGTAAAGTAGAGTCTGACAGGAACCGGAGCCAGAGGTGGGGACAGACGGGATAGAGCAGAGAGTTACATGCATGTGTGATGGGTTTGACCAGATACGACCAGGATGCTGACGTGTTTGCAGCAGAACTGTCTCCTGGAGCTCAGGTGCAATACTGACAGTGGCCACGAGATGGCAGCATGTCCAACAGGTTCATACCAGTCAGCTACCAGACTGCTGCGCTTTGGCTGTGTGTCTACAGCGTAAAACTAACTAGATAGGAGACAGGCTTCTAGTCATGTCATGACAATGTTCAGTGTAGTTTTTCTTCTGCCATGGCAACCATGATGCAGATGCTCAACAGTGTCAGGTTGGTCTGCATCGACATTGTTCTGTTGCTCTAAGCATTTGCATCAGTTATTTTTCTAAAGATAAGTTCAACCAAGATGTTACCTGTTAAGCTCAAGCAATAAGTTGATGAATCAAATACATTGTAAAAGGCACTAAGAGAATGCAAAGTGAAGAAATGTCTATTTTTGTTTGTTCACTTATTTTTTAAGGTTATTTACTGTTGTTCCCAGTATAGTCCCAGTTCATCCCTAAATGACCAACGGTGCGTTGCTTAGTAACCAGTCTGACTGTTTTTGTAGCACAGTCCTCAAACAATGTAGAGATCTCATGGGGAAACACAGCATTTCCCATATTTTTAAACAACTTGCTGCTCTGCTTGCTGTGCAATCACTTGTTAATCAGTGTGTTTACGTGGGCAGCCACATGCCTGAATACTGAGGTACATCGCTGCTGGGCCGGTCCTCGTACAGTACAAACCATATCCTGTTTACACACAGGGACTCTGATAAGATGTTTCCACAGCTAGCTCAGCCACAGCTCAGCAGCATACTCTCCTCATTCAGCCGTTCACAGGAGTGCCTGCTTCTGGCGAATCCATGAAAAGGACACACTGATTGATACGAACGGCTCATTCCTGGACTCGTGGGCAGTTACCCAGCCGCTCCTGCAGACCTGCTCTAATGACTAACTTACTGTGTATATATATATATAAGAAATACTCGGCAGGCATTAGTTTCTACTACGTTATCAAGGAATGTAATTCACAGATAATTACATTTTTAATCACATTGTCACGGCTTTGGTCCTAAATAGTCCATCCAGATTACTGTTAGAGCAGCATTTTAATCTGTCAAACAAACAGCATTTAGCAACAGACGCTTCTTTTACATTTGGGGGTTGGCAGAGTTGGCTGGAGTCAGAAATGAAACCTGAGACTATCTGTCTGACAGAACGTGTCGTCAATCTGCTCCACATTTCTGCAGCTGAGTCAGACTGACATTTCTCACTGTTTCCATGAGTTTCATCACACCGCTGAATTCCCGGGAAACCTGCTGAGCGCCAGAACCTCTCGCTGTGGCTCCAAACACAAAAGCCTGTTCACATGGCCGTGTGCGCCTCTAGGTTCAGAGGATTAACGCTAATCTGCAGCCATGTGTGTCCTTAAATATTCATCGGAGGTGTAGGTTTCAGAGGCTGCAGCAGAGCTAATGGGCCAGAGCAGACTGAGTGCTGTTGATTTTACATGGAAAGAACTTAACGTGTGGCTTTGTTCTCTCGTATATCAGCGGTGCAGCAGGAGTTCAAGTAAGCACTTCCTCCGTCCTGTGCTCGGCAGCAACGGCACAGCTGTTTCCGTGGCAACTAAACACGAGGTTTGTTGTGGTGCTCGTGTGGCGGCGGGAGGGAGGCTACTTTGACAACGCCTGACACTGACGCAGCGCAAAGCCTTTTGTTTAGACCGCCGTTTGTTGTCCTTCCTGGCTTTTATTGAGCCTGATGGTCAAGGTGAGCAACTTGTTAGCATCAGAGGCTACAAGGAGGACGTCTGCTCTGTCCTACAGTGTGATAAAAACAAAACCTGTGCAGTTGATTCACATCAGAGTGTTCAGAATGATCATGAAGTTTGTGTCTTTTGAGGTTTTCTTTTCATCAGCAGTGAGCCCAGTGTGGTGACGGCTTCATTCTCAGCCAGCATGGTCAATAATGAAATGATCAAATAACCTTCCAGCGTGTCACATGACGTTCATTCATCAGTCTGGCAGGGATGCAGGCTGAGTCACATGAGTGCAGTTTATGAATCAAATCAGTCTTAAGTGAGTCAGAGGGTAATTGAGGTCGCAGACAGCGATCCCAGCGTGCTTCCTCAAGCACTGGTCTAATGAATAGCATCTTGTTTAGCCCTGCACCAGACAGCTCTGGATCTGGTTTCCACAGCTGTGCTGCTTCTCACTCATTCGATTTAATGCTGGAGTTAATCATCTCCTCATTGTCACGCTGGCCTGCGTGTTGGGTTCTCCACTTTCCTGCACCAGTTGTCCTGCTTCGTCTAAACCACGCCGGGATTTGGTGCAGCTTTGCACCTCCGTCTATACAATGCTCGTCTGTTTGTTCTGACTGTTTTTTTATTCAGTGTTTGGAACGTGTAGGAGTTTAGGAAATGAGGAGGGCAATAAGGCATCTGAAAGCTGTCTTCTACCCTGGAGGCCAAATCACATTTCTGCTTCTTTACGTTGCTGTCAAGGCTCACACACATAATCTTTCTGCTCGCTGTCTGTCCATGGAGCTACAGTACAGGGAGTGCAGTATATATGACTATCTGAGTGTCTGTCCTCATGCATATGAAGTCACACTACAGAAAGCTACTGACTTCACTCCTGTTCTAACTTGGATTCATAATTTTGTACGCTTATGTGACATCCAACTGCAAGAAAAGTCCTTTTTAATGAGTCGTTTGTCCTTTTCCCGAGACCTTCTTGTACATAAGCTTTGGCTTGAGACATGATGCTCTCCAGTTTCTCTCTGCTCATACATCCTTTCATTCCTGTGATTCAGTCTGCATCTCCCAACATCATGTCCTGACCTTTTCTACAGATTAGATTTAAAAGAAGAACTGACGTATGCGGTAACATTTTCACCGTGAGGACGTAAAACCTCACTCAGAAGAATACATGGAAGAACATGTGGATGTGTGCAGATGACTCGTTTTAATAAAACACACATTTAGGGTGATGAGAGGTGAGTTCAGCGAGTCTGCTGCTGAAAGAGCTCTGAGTTTAAGCTGTCAAGCTGTCGTGTTTCATTAGCATGTCAGGTTTTCTGATGTTTGTAGTTCTGTGGGTGCAATGTCCATGTGATGGTTCGTAACACTGGCACTGAGAGACTTGACTGTAATAGTTGGTCATGTTGTGTTGGCACCATGTGAAGGGTCCAGCGGTGGAACTATGGTGGTTGTAACCACGTCCTGATCTGCAGCATAGTTAGCTCATCGTAGAGGAGCAGAAACACCATCAGCTTTCTCTCAGTTAAATCTTACTATCTAATCTAGCTGGTACCCGCTACAAGCAGGACAACAGCTGAACACGTTCTCAGTGCACTCGACTGTACCGGTGCTCCAGTAATATATGTAAAGAACAGCCACGTTTCTACAAAGTCTTGCATTTTTAGCACAAGATTCACCTCCAGCAGCAGCAGCAGCAGCAGCGCTCTGGTGTCCCACTCTAAGGTTTAAGCAGAGTTTCCATTGTGTCATTTAGGAAAACTCTGGGTTCACATCACACTGGTTTTCATTGTCGGTCACTGGGTTTCTGTGCTCTGGATGTAAGAAGAAACTCTGACCTCAGCCTGTGATTTCAACTCAAGCAAGCAAACACAGTGAGAGTCCCAGAGAGCGTTTTCTCCCTCTGTTTTAGTGCAGTCTGGTCAAGTATGAGCACCAAGGTTTAGTTCCACTTGGATATAACTGAATTAGGTCTGACAAAGTCTTCATGTTCACATATGTGTCACATAAACACATTGGATTGAAATCTGGGCTATTAAAACGTCACTGTGCATGCACCAAAAGTCAAATCAAACAGCTGATTTCAATGTGATGGTGAAAACATTTTCATCTTACACATTCACAGCATGCTGGATTTAGTGAATAAATGAAACTGGCAACATGGATGACAGACTAAAACATACACTTTGTGTTGCACACTTTAATTCTCAGGAAGTCAAACAACTTAGTCATAATGCAGTATGTGGAGTATGAAATATAAAACTGGTATGATACATCAGTGTGGATAGTCTGACTGCATGGCCAGTGAGCCATTGAGTACAATACAGTAAGTGCACATAAGTTAAACCTGGTGTGATGTCAGATTCAATCAAGACTTCTATTTCTTTTTTTTTTTCATGCAGGCAAACAATTTCTGAACTTTTCACACAGAACCGAGCAAACCAAGCAAAGAAAACCAAAACATTCACCTGTTTAGGCACATAAATGAAGTAAACAGACATGTATTAGGGTACAGTTGGTATCAGGGACTAAGGGGTTGAATCTCATGGGCACGACTTGAAGGATGGGATGGAGGGTTTGGGGGTTATCGGATCAGTCATAGGCATTACTTACTGTAATTTGTGATGGCCTTTGGATTGGGGTGGAGGTGGGCTTAATCATGATGCTACTGGTTATTTTGCTGCTGCCTTTAGCAGTGGGAGGGCTGCAGTTTGCGAGCACCGGAGTCCTTTGCTCCTGGAGTCCAGGCGTGTGACAGGGACTCAGCGTTTGAGACGGAGTGCTGATGCTCTGAATGAACGGACTCCCCAGGTGAATGTGGATTTTGTTGTCCTCCGTGGTGATGAGGTTGGGCCCTGAGCTGTTGGACCTCTGGACCTGCCAGCTGCTCTGCCTCTCGGGGGTCACTCGGAAGACGGCGTGTCCTCCAACAACCTCCACCGGCTCCGTGGCCAGAGCGCGCTCAGGCGTGCCCGTGGTCACTGATACGATCTGTATGGGTGACATGGCCCTGTCCGGTGTGGCTGAGCCACAGGAGTCTGGGGTTATTGCTCGGGAGTACGTGGCCATGGTGAAGGGGGACAGGGCCCTGTCTGGTGAACAGGGCTCTTCGGACACAAGGGAACACTTGGATTTTGCTGTTGGGGAAACAGACTTTGCGGTGGGGGACATGGACGTGTTCTGGATGATGGTGATTCTCTGCTTGGGTGGACCTCCGCTGGTGGGTATGACGGCGGTGCTGGTGAATGACGGGGTGTTTTCTGCGGTGGGACTGGTGATCTCCAGTGTGGCTGTGTTGTGTCCGTGGTCAGGAGTCACTTTGATGTGCAGCGGCTGCCCAGGACTGTGGGTCAGCACGACGTCTCCGGGCTGCGCGTGGTTGCCGTTCTGCCGCGGTTGCATCTTGCCGTTCACCTGATGGGGGATGTCTTTGTTTTTGAGGAAGGGGGTTCGTGCTCTTTTCAAGTTGTTGTTTAGATTGTTGACGTTATTGATGAGCGAGGGGCTGCATTTGGTGAGCTGAAGCTCGTTGCTGTAGTTTGCGTTCTCTTCGGGTTCGCTCTCGTCGTACAGCTTCCCGTTGACCACGGCCCGCTCCAGCGGTGCCATCGTGTTGCAGCCGGGAGACATGAGGTCATGTGGGTCCGTCTGAACCTCCTTGGTGGCAACGTGCAGGTCTGAAAAGCGCCTTCCGTTCATGCCTGGGCGCAGACTTTTGCTGAATCGTCTGTATCGTTCCAGCTCTCGAGTGAGCGTCTCCATCTCTCTGGCCAGCTCTTTGTTCCGGACCTCCTGCTGGGTCAGCTTTCTTTGCAGGCTCGAGTGGTCAGTTTTCATGCGGCAGATGGACTCTTCTGTTCCCATGTATTCATGAATCTTTTCTTTCAGAGCGGCTACCTCTCGGGTCAGATGACTGGACTTTGCCTCCTCCTCCTTCAGGCGTTTATAAAGAACGTGCTCCTGGTTGCACTCCTTCTTTTCAGCCAGTTGGTACTTTGAAAGCTCTTTTCTGGATATTTCAAGCTCCTCCATCAGGGCTTTAGCTTTCTCTTGTTCGTTGGTGAATCTTTTCTCCAGCGACTCAAACTCCTCTGTCTTTAATAAATCACCTTCCACCACTTTCATGTCCTTCAGTTTGCGTCGGAGGCGTTCCACTTCCTGTGTCAGATCCTTGACTTTGTTGTCTTCCTGTTGGAAGCGGTTAGCAACGGGGGCTTTGATGTGCTCCTCTTTGGCTTTGTTTCTGAGGTATTCTCTCTCAATTGTCTCCAGCGATTGCAGCCTTTTCTTCATCATATTGATCTTAGACTCTGAATCATTGCTCTTCTCCTCCTCAGCTCTCAGCTTGGCCTTCAAGTCATCCCTTTCCTTTGTAGCGCTGCACATTTTCTCCTCCAGCTCAGCCTTTGATCTCAGCGCCTTCTTGCTTTCTTCAATCAGCTTCTCTGTGACTGACGTGACTTTGTCCTGCTCAGCCTGAAGTTTGCCGGTGCTGTTCTGGACCTTGTTCTCCATTTGCTTCAGCTTCTCTGCCATCGCCTTTCTCTCGTCCACCAACATGACTGTCAAAGTCTTTAGCTTGGTCAGATCTTCCTTCAGTGTCAGCTCAGTCTTTCCCAGGTGGCTCTCAGCAGCCTCCAGCTCTTTCACTCTGACTTTCAGGGCTTCCAGCTCACTTGTCAGCACCTTTGACACCATCCTCTCCTTCTCCAGGTTGCTTTTGAGTGAGCTGCACTCCTGTTTGCTCTTGCTGAATGCATCCTCCAGCTTTTCTAAGTCCATGATTCTGTGATTCAGTTTATCGACTTCAGCTTTCAGGCAGTGGCTTTGCTTGGCCTCTTTCTCCAGTTTCTTATTCAGGTCCCTGCAGTGGTCCTCCATTCTGATCAGCTCTTCGTCCTTTCCCTCCATTTCAAGTACTCGTTTCCGTAGTTCTTCGAGCTCTGACATGAGGCTGGAGTTTCCACACTCGCCACGGCTAATTTTGTCTCTCAGTTCCTGCAGTTCCTCCTCGGCCCTGCGCAGGGTTTTGTTGGTCTCCTCCAGCTCGTCCAGCTGCCTGCTGAGGGTGGACAGCTTCTGCCGCAGCTGCCGGTTCTGAGCGTCCTCGCTGGTCAGCTTTGCCGTCATCGTGTCTTGTTCCTGATGGTATCGACCGGCTTGGTCACGCAGCTCACCCTCCAATCGAAAGACCTTTTGCTCCTCTTCCTGCAGACGAGCATTCGCTGAGCTCAGCTCCTCCTGGGCTTGTGAAGAACTGGCGCTCAGTTCTTGGACCTTGGCTGTTTGTTGACTCAGCTGCTCAGTGACACGCTGCTGTTCATCCACGACCATCAACGCAAACGACTTGAGTTTTGTCAGCTCCTCCTTCAGACTTGCAACCTTTTTGTTGTTCTCTTCGTCTTTCCGTTCTTGGTAGGCCTTCTCCTGATCAATTAGCAGCTTTAACCTGCAAAAATATAAAAGACACAGAAAAAACAGCACGTTATCTGCATGGAACTCAACATTAGCTGTTTGCATGCAGAGCAAGGAGAAAACCTGTCTGACTGCGGCTGGATGTTCTGTTAGATGCCCTGTATACATCGGTGAGCCTTCAGCGCCACTCTTCTGTCTCGGCTTATAATATTTAAAGGTGCAACAGAACCCCAACACCCCCGCTGTCACTGCCCATAGGCCCACTCCTCCAAGCACCGACACATCATAAACACTGTTATTTTCCCCACATTTCTAAGGAGGACTAAACTTTTTATGTCATGGAAAATTTAACACATCATAAAAAGCATTACTTCAGGTTTCTGGTCTGAAATACCTGTGGTTAATGTTTTCTCGTTCCCGTGTTGCCAGCTAATTCTCATATGGGTTGGAAACTTGAGTTAGTGCCGTAAATACTTGTCCTCGAGTTTAACAATCGGTGGATTTCAGAAAGTTTCCGAAATGGCTGAGGATGTAGTGTTAGGCCTACTACGTCCTCCGGGAAATTAGGTTTAAAAAATATATATAATTTCACCAGACAAGGTGACGACTGTAAGCCAAATACAAGCTGTTTCGGACCTGGACGTGATGTGTACAGGCGGTTACTGTGCAGCACAGGAAACACAACATTGCACAAGAGTATGTCTCAGTATAAATAAAGGCTACGTCCTTGAGATGGATAAGGAGGACACACACAGAGCGCCACATCAAGCCAAGAACAACACAGATAAGTGTGTTCATTTCACTCAGTATCTAAGCAACACAAAATAATTCTAAAATCAGTTTGGTTTAGAGAAATAACCAGAAATGGCAGTGGAGCAGATGTAATATTTATATTTCCACGACTAATTATATCCTATGTTTCTATATATGGAACCCAGAGCACCCACATGACGCCAGGGTGTGTGTATGGGCCACCTGATGCATGTAATGCAGTGCGGTGTGTGAACACATCACCAGGCCTCCAGAGCAGGACGGTGTGCAGCTGCCAGGCCTTTCCACACAGATGGCCCCCTGGCATGGAACAGGCTGCTAATTAAGGGCTTCCTCCACTACCAGCCCTCCTCCCCGTACCTAAACCTCCTCCTCCTCCTCCTCCTCCTCGCTTTCTTATACGTTAAAGGAATTCCCCCTGCTTCCAAAGGCAATTACAGCTTCTCAGAGTTTAGAGACACACACACAGGCTGAGGGATCACTAAGGGTTTCTGTGACCAGGAAGCTAATCAAGCATATCAAACTAGATGCTGTGGACATGTTCTCATATGAGCTGTGTCCTTATGAGGACTCCCAGCACAGCCTGGCTGATTGTCTGACTTCTGACGGTTAAACTCGTACTCTTATGGAAGAGTTGAGGAGCTGTAGTGCTGTTGTGTGCCATTTATACTTAAACTCACCTGCTAGTGCATTTTGGAGACAAATACTGTATTTTTTCCTCGACCACACTGATTCTGAAGCTACGTTGCTCCTGCTGGGTACCTTTCAGGTTCAGTCTGTTGTCACAGAACCCAATGAACAATTTAATTATGAGGCAATATTATATAACATTATATCACTTCCCTGAGGTTTGCACCAAAGGGATCAATAAAGTTCTATTCTATTCTATTCACAGCTACCCAGAAGTCAGATGACCTCATGATTTCCTGTGTCGTGGTAAAATCAGCTAAACAGCCTTAAATAAAATAGGTAAAGATAACTCCATCGTCTGTTGCTGCAACCTGACGGTGCTGCCTGTCCAATGTGTCAGTAATTATAATCCAGCTACTTACCAACGCTGGTAGTTTTGGTGTTTTATGTGCTTTTACTTCATGTTTTGGATCCCTGACTGTTATTTCTGCACTGTGGTAGTCCTCCTGTTGCTCCAGCTGCTGTTCCAGTGTTTCAGGCTGTTCTACACCAGAACCTAGACCGACAGTGGACCCTCCTTATTTTCAGGTCTACCACTATTCCAGGCCATCAGGCTTGTTTCTGTCGGGGTTTTGTTGGTTTAGTTTGTCACATCCTGGCTGCTCGAAGCATTGATAAAGAATAAATCAAGGGCTCTGGAGTGTCTGTCAAGAGTGTCCTGAAAGGAAATCTTATCACGCATGTGGTGAAAAATGGCTTTTTGTTTGAGTGGACTGTGTATGGGGAAACAGTGAGTTGCTAAGCAGAGCTCCTTTCCAGCAGGCACACGTCTATCTGGCAGATTAGCCTGTTGTCTGTATTTATACAACCTCTTATCTCGGTTCCCACTGCTTTTCTCCTGATGTCATCTAGCAGTGCAGTCACTTCCAGCCTTCACTGGGACCATGCTGCTCTGCTCCTCATGCGCTTTGTGATACAGAAGCAAGTTTTGGCCAATAATTCCTGGACCTGATCTCATCAGGGACACACATCGATGAGCGCTCGGCCAGCGGAGCCACTTCTGACAGCGTTTCTGTTGTTGGATATACTTTAGGCAGACTCTGCATGTTGTATAGATGAGAACAGATGAAGGGGCTTGTGGAGAAAACATTCTGACCTCACACTTTAACAAGAGGCAGAAGCTCAGCTGAGCAGCTTTCACCATCTAATGAAAGCCAGTGGAAGCAGTGGCAGCGTCTGTTTGGGGAACAGAAGTGATGCAGCTGATCTCTGTAGCGTCTGTCTACATCACCAGCCCATCAGGGTTTCCTTCAGCGTCGTACGAAGGCCGTCTGTACGAGTAGAGAGCCATGCATCTTGAAAGAGCATTACTTTGGACGAGTAGATTGTAAAGTGTTGCACATAAAGCTGGAGACACACAGTTTCATGGCTATCAATATCACAAGGCACCTTCCCACCCACTCTGCAGCAGCCATCCCTCAGACTGCTGCTCCCCCAAACGGATGCATGAGCACCGCCGGGCCTCGTTAACGTGTCATGGAAACACGGGCTGCACACGCTGATCTGGTGGACGTCTTTACGAGGTTGTTTCTGGCTTTGTCGCAGATGTATTTTGTTGCCTTTCCATCTTTAAATGTAAACTAACATAAAGAGCTTTAAAACAGAGAGACTAGAAGGCAACCTCCCGCCGAGCGACGAGGAGTGGGCTAGCGGCAGCCTCACTGAGGGCTTCCCTCTCTTTAGGTGGCTCCCAGAGCTGGAAACTGTGGCTCAGCCGCTGTTTAAAGCTGCGTTACACGTTCCATATGTCAGGCCTGCTGTGCTGCTTCCTCACCACCAGTGATTAGGTCATGTATGTACCCAGCAGTATATCCTGTGCACACATCTCTGGGTTAACTTTGGGCAAAACACCCTCACGTGTGATGGAGTTTAAGGATAACGCTGATGGATGCAGTGCTGGGACTGTATTAAAGGCTCAGTGAAACGTCCCCAGAGTGCCCTCACAGTGTGTGAAACATGGAGCTCTGATATTTATGAACTTCCTCTGGTAATCTGGACCAGGGTGGCGTGTTAGCTCTAACTCTCCCGGACCAGGGTGGCGTGTTAGCTCTAACTCTC